AGTTCAGGTGGGCCAGTCGGGTTATCCACCCCCTCCTGAATTAGATACTCTATGCATACATGCCTCTTTTCGCGAAAGACAAAATGCACTTTTCATTGCTGCAACGAATTCGTAGACTTCCGGAGGGAATTTGAGAATGATCTTTCCAATCAAGTTGATGCGATGGGCAACATATCTTACGTGAACTGTACCTTCACAAACTGGCTTGATGACATCTCGGTAACATGTTGCCATATATCTAGCGCCATCGGACACAAAGGCCGTCACGCGCCTGTCATTGTCAAGCTGAGCGGAATGGCTCCTCCAAGTGTGGCAGAACTGCGTCTCACCATATTGACCGTGTCGATGAGTTATGCTTGGAGACTGTCCTTGCTGGACTTCAATAGTACGTATAACAGGATGTATAGTTCCATCTCCGGGCGCTCGCTGGAGCTCCGGTCAAGTAGTGTGAGCACGTTTCAGCACCGGATGCTGAGTGCTTTGCGCGCAGGCATACGATTACATTGGTGGGCAATCGTACGCCAGGTGGTCGTTGTGCTTCGAAGGTTTGCTTGAGGGACTCCACCCGTAGCCTTTGGCTCAATAGCCTGAGCCACAAGGCAGTGGGGAGCAGATCCAGCTCGGGAATGCAATTGCAGAGACAGATTGGGATCTGCTTGACGGCCGTCACACGCAGACTTGGAGGTACTGGAACGATTTATATATGTTTTGCGACCGTAGTAGGATACGCACCTGCGACCACGGCCAGACGCAGGTTTGTTTTGGCGGGTTTGCACCAATTTGACCAGGGGCTGCCTGGCTTGAGGCGGGCAGTAGCAAACCATTGAACACCCGGAGGTGCCCTCTCACCATCAGAGACAATGCGCAGCGCTCGTGCTCTACGCCAATCGAGCTGTGAGCGTACAATCCGTAGACCTGTTGTCTCCCATGGCTACGTTTTACGGGAAGAGGGCCATCGACCACTTCCTAACCTCCGAAGAGGATGGACTAGGATAATGCCAGGGCGCCCACACCTGACAGGAGAACGACTCGGGTCTTCAGCCAAAGCCTTCGATTAAATGAACACCCGAAAGACAGCGTGACTAGTACATGGTCAGTTCAATGCTCAATGCGTATATATATATATATATATATATATATATATATATATATATATATATATATAAACTCTTATACGGTCAGCTGCGTATTGGGAAGCGGCACGTGGGGAAACCAAAGTTACGTTACCAGGACATGATCAAAGTGAGCCTCACACGTTCTAACCTTGATCGCTGATCATGGGAATCGAAGGCGGTTGATCGGCGTGCATGGCGCGATCTAATCACGAAGGCAGTTGCCAAAGTGCGGGAGAAAGCCCTCATGCATGCAGAGAAGAAGGGGCAATTGCGGAAGCGGCAAGCACCTATGAATTGCACTCCATCGACATAAAGCGCATGGTGCTGTAGAATATGCGGTCGCGAGTGCCTTAGTCAGGCACGTTTAGTGAGCCATGAGCGAGGCCACTCGGTACTACTACCGAAGCGACGGCGGGTTCTGCAGAGAACATAGGCAGAACCGGCACAGCGTTTGTAGGTACGCTGCATCCGATTTTCTAACCGCGTGCTTGCATGCGAAGTCTTTTTATTTCAGGTGGTGGGTTTTCAATTTTGTCCTAATGCCTTTCTTTCTCCTATAAATGTCTAATGTATAATGTCTAGTGTCTCGTGAGCCATGAGCGAGGCCACTCGGGACCACTACAGAAGCGACGACGGGTCCTGCAGAGAAGTATTCAAAACCGGCGCAGCGTCTGTAGATACGCTGCATTCTTTTTACTAACCGCATGCTTGCATGCTACGTCTCTTTATTTCAAGTGGAGGGTTTTCAATTTTGCCTTAATGCTTTTCTTTCTCATATAAATGTCTACCTGTACTCTATTCCATTAACTTGCACACCTCGCTTAAGCCAATTGTATTCGATTTCCATAACATTTTTGTGTTCGTGGCATTTCCGTATAGTATACTTTCTCACCTCGTGAACTTAACTAGGATTTGTTTGTAAACAACTTATTTCATATGCTCAGTAACTTAAGGTTTAAGTCACTGTTTCCTTATGCATCAATCGAGTTATTTTCTTTGTCTCTCTCTCTCTCTCTCCAGTGATTGGCTGTTGTTTGATATCTCCGGTGTGGCTGCGCTTGATGTGCATGTTGACAAGGTGCCTACCTGTCTATTACCCACTACCTCGTCCATACTCGCTCCAGGAGACAGTTGGTCGTTGCTGGAGGGGACGGGGTGCACGGTCCTTGTGGCCATGTTAGGATCAAGAGTAGTTCCATGCATTCAGTGTGGAGCGGACTACGGTCCAGCCACCGCCTTGTGTGCGATTGATTCCCCAAATACAGCGTGCTTGTGTTTGTCTGTGAAGGAGTGTGAGCCGGCTCCGTTGAAGAAACGTGGCTCCCATCCACATGCCTCCCGGTCTTATTCCTTCGGGTTTACACTGGATATGGTGCGTGTGGTTGGAGCTGTGGATGGTGCAGCGCAAGCCACCCATGGTCCCACTGTAGGCGCAGGCGTCCTGTGTCTGGCCACAGTGACATGCAAATCCGGAACCGGATGCCGGCAACCATGTTTCCTGTATAGCTGGGGAATTTTCAAACGTAATGCGCCAGATCCGGCAATGCCTCCACCATTTCGTACGGCGATGGAACTAACGATCCTTGCTTGACGAGCTTTCTTTGGAGCTGGTTCCGCCTTGGCAACAACTATAGCTCTTTGCTCCTCCTTGTAAGCTTTTTTCTGAAGATGCATCTAGCTGCGAATGTGATCAACCAGGATTAATTTCTGAGGTGGATCCACAATCACTTCACAGGTTGAACAAAACGAAAACTTCTATCCGCGTTATCGTCATAGTATTCTCCAGGAAACTCTTTCACTATGTCTAGAACAGTTTTACCTCCTACATGGTGTTTCGTTTTCTGAGATAACATTTACAAAGATAAATCTGGTTGATTAATGTAAGCAACAGATTCGTTTGCTTCTCGAGTAATGGGTCAAACAAAAACGAATCCGAGACTGAACTGCAGTACTATTCAAAGGAAGATGAATATGCATTAATGGCAGGCCTCAGCAGCAAGTGCTTAATACTGGCACAACAGTATCTTCACGAAGTACTCAAAGAGGGTACAGATCACCGTTCTCGCCACTATACCTACAGATGGCGACGAGTTCCCTCTTTCAGCAAATTAACACCGTAGATTATATTGCGCCGCCGAGTACCTATACAAAGAGGTGGCCGCTGTTCAACGCCTAAGAAGCGACAGCGCAACTAGTTCGCGGATGACCGTAATCGGAGCTTTGTGTGCCAGCCAGGAATGCACAAAAGGTGGGACCGAACATTTGTCGAACAGATTTAATCTACACGTGAGCAGAGGGGGCTTTCATAATGGACAATAGAATGAGTGCACAGTGTAGGAAGACAGATGGGACATTGTTGCTTAATAGATCAATGCATGGGGACACTTGGGTCTGGAGACAAGCGGACTTGGATAGCATATGGTGGAGAGATGGCAGTGATGATACTCCAGAGGGTGTTCCAGTGGCCAGATAATTGTTTTGGCGTTTCTTCTAAATACCAATATTTGGATTATAAAGAAAACGGAAAAGTAGTTTTCTTTATGAATTTCTAATTTTTTCGCATTCCGCGAAAATTTTCACTTTCCGCGACAGTTAGCAAATCCCGCCATTTTTCAGCGTTTCGCATAATCGCGGAAAATTCGGTTCTATAACCATCGGTATTACGTTTAGACGCAGCAGTAGTTGGAAATCGATCCACTTGCTTTTTTAAATTCTTGTTACTAGTCAAGTTGCTTCTCTCCATGTTCGTTGGGGCAGGTGTTTGCATGGCTGGTTGCGCTCCAGTCAACAAATGAGCACCGTTCGGTGGTTTTGTTTTGGTTTTCTCCGACATCATGTCGCAAAAGTCGGTCCTTCAGGGATAAATGGTTTAGGTAGAACTTCCTCACATCTAGACTCACTCAGACAGCCATCACACACTGTACGCGCGTTTTATCCTTTCGGGAATCGTCATCAGTGCACATTTCATCTGACCCTGGCAGTGTTCGAACCCGTAACACGACTGTTGTCAGTCCGTGGTTGAGACCATTGATCTACGGGGGACGGCAACGACCCTCGTGAGTAGGTTGTTAAAGGTAACATAGCACCGCTCATTATCCACTGACTTGCATGTCATTGCTGTGCAGAGGACAGGGTAGCCCCCTCACCACGATGCTCCTTGGCATCCCCCTGTAGCTAGGTGGTCTCAACGATGCAATGGCAACAGTCGAGTTGCGGGTTCGAGACCTACCGGGGTCAGATGGAATACGCACTGCTGACGATTCTCCAAAGAATGGAACGCGAGTACAGTGCTTTTCAGGCGTGTGTAGGTTGTCCGACTGACTCCAGATGTGACGAATTCCTACCCATACCATTCAACTTCCCTAACTCCTCCTCGATAAACGGTTTATTCGACAAACTAATCTCAAGAACGATGGCAGCAAAACTAGTCTGTAAAAGTCACGATGTAAATAAGTCGTTCTCTTTTATAACTAACCACGCTTCTGCATCCGTGCGATTATTTCTTTGCTTCAGTCAAACAAAGGCACTCTAGAACAGCCAAATATTAACCAATCAGCGTAGGGGCAGGTAAGCGTAGGCGTCCAATCATATATTCCGTTTGCGTGTGAAAATCTATCCGCTTACGTCGCTGTGTGAATCCGCCTCGTTCCTCTGATGGAAAACTCTCATATGGTGTATCTCATTTATTTCATCTGCAGTATTACTCCACTAGGGCATAGTATATCCCAGTTTAACAGGCTAGGGGCTATACAGAAAACATACTCTACTCTTGTGGTGTCGTGAACGGCATTTAAACCTTCTGACTTTATCCAGTCCAATCTATTTGATAATTTACAGTGGAAGGTTAACAACTCTGTTAATGTGTGCACTTGTTTCACATTCTAGAGCATCAGCAGTCATCCCAACGTCCCGGTCATCATAGTAGGCAATAAGATTGACTTGCGACTTGAATCCCAGTCTTCAATGGTCACAACCGAGGTGGGGCAGAATCTAGCCGAAGTGAGTCTATTCTCTTTTCATGGTCCGCCAAACTACTCTTGTTAACGCCGCGCTTCTGGTCCACGACGAGGGTATACCGTATGCAACAATATAATGCTGCCATCGTTTTTCTCCATCATAAAATTTACATACTTGTACTTCGTGCTGCATCACGAAATCGATTCTCTACTTGTTCCACTGGGCACAAGTGATGAGGAGTGGTAAAAGCCGAACTGTGATGACCCGGAGCCTAGTGCTTAGAAGAGACTGATGTACCCACACTATATTACCGACTGTTTCTTCCTTGCTTGATATGCTAGATAATGTGTTACACGCGGGCGCACACACTGCGAACTTTGTTAAGGTTGAAAGTCCTCTAAAAACTCCGGACGCTAAGTTAAGTCATCTGTTTAAGTTTCCAATTTATCCCTTATCCAACTAGCAATTGAGTGCCTGTTGAGGACACTAACTTTTGCAAAGGCACTAGGAGGACTGCTCTGCACCAAACTTACTCTCCGGTTCCACAGTGCTAGTGGAATCTTTGAGTGTTCAGTGAAGACGGTCACTTCGCAAATCTACATCATCATACGGTCGGGGTGACACATTTTGCAATTACACACAAGCGATAGTGAGTGAATTGTTACAGAATCACTTGTAATGCACTGAGAAACGCGCATTGTCACTTTTGATTCGATAGCAATCCACAGTAGTTACACAGAGTGAACAGTTGCCTTCTACTCGGATGCAGTTCAACCACACCCATGAACCTCACTCCTGTGGTACTACCTTCCATCCATCTCTCATGAGTTGGGGCAAGCTTTCGGCGTGTGACGGACCGCGGAATTTAGTTAAACAGGATGGATCCGAATAGGCGCCACCTTTCACGCATTACCCTAGTAGCGGCAGTTCAAACAAGTGACAATCACTTGATGTTCTCAGTTTCTGGATGGTGGCAGTTATGTGCAAGGCTGACACGAACCCTACCACAGTTGTGTGTACGTAAAACTTGTATATCCGTCGCCGTCTGAATCCCGCAAATTCTGACTTAGTCTCAATTATTTTCCTCTCGACATCAACTGCAACCTCTGGTTGATAGAATTTCGCCATTACAATATCTAAGTGTAGTTTGGATACATGAGTCCCTCGGTCTATATGACTCCGTTGTTGTTTTTGTTCACACAGTCCTACAATGCGCTATTCATTGAGACAAGCATCCCAACAGCAGAGAATGTGGACGAGACCGTGAGGATGTTGGCCAAGTGAGTGGTATTCAAATATTACACTCCTCAAGACAAGCTAGAGCTAGGTAGCGTTTGTTTCCTGTGCGCGAGAGCTTAACTTACGAACAAAGTTTTGCATCTCGCCTCACATGATTACACTCCACCGTGACATTTTCCATGAAACAGAGCCTCACTAGTGGCTGTGTACTGTTACCTATAACAGTGTGTGTACAGTACCCAGCCACGTCAGAGGTCATTGTTACTAGTTCGATCCGTCCACAGTATCCGTCTGTAATCCAGCACAGATCAAATTACATTTTCGTAGTTTCCCCATATGGTGTCATTCATCATCATAGTTTGCAGCAAAGCTGCACTTAGTATCTGTTTTTATGGGTCCGTGGGCTGGGATCGCATTCTTCTTGCAGCTAGCATACAAGCCTCTTGAATTAAAGTGTACGACGCATCTCACCTCCCTTGATGTGAAAAAACAACTTTCGGTTACCATTGACCCTACAGTTTCCGAGTTGGAGACAGTGACATTAATGCGATAACTGATGTGTTCACTTCATATTCTATCTAGTATCGCCTTTCACTGATATTAATAATGAGAGTATTTCCGCACTTTGTACGATAACGCCCTAGCACTTGGTCAACATTCTCCATGGCGGTCCTCACCTTGTTATATTTACGCTATTGTGTTATCATTGGAAGACGAATTCCCCTACATTATATTAGGATAACCCCGTGAGAAGAGGCTTATCTCTCAAATAAGGCTGACATTCGATGTAGAATTTCACTTAATCAGCTGCTAACCTACAGTTTGTCACATTTCAGCGCAATGAAATTGAACGAGGACACGCAACTGGCCTCCGTGCAACTAACTCCTTCTCCTACGAAACCGACCCGATCATGTTGCAAATCATAACATTCCAGCCGTTAGGCACTTTTATAAGTGTTCTGTTTTATAATACTTGGTATGACCTTTAATCCCCTCATTTGGCTCGTTTGTACATGTTAGCATTCATAACTACATAAATTTCCTAAATGTGCTCCTTGAATCAGACAGCTGTCAGCTTGTTTTGTTGTTGGATCTGGTTCCAATCTCCCAACCTAGTTGCTGTCATTGCTTTCGGATAACTCGGACTTGCTCTATCTCATAATGAAAAACGTTGAAAAGATTGCAATCCATGCCCCTTCGTGATCGTTCTGTTAAGCCTGACTCACCCCATCAATTCTGCGCAGTTATTGTCTAGAGCCCACTTATTTATTGGCTTGAGTTGAACCAGTTACTCTTCGGACAGAATGTACCAAGCCGGTTATGGGAATGATACACCCTAATTATATTGTACGAAATATGCCCGATTCGGATTATCTCAAGTTGCTCACTCTGACCTATTGCGTTATGTTCACTCGGCTACGGAGTAGGACCAATATGTTTTCTGACCCTGGTGATACCTTCCGCCGACGGTAGAAGAATGAACTCATACACGCTCTGTGCTGCTTGCTACTGATGCTGTATTGCCTGACCAACTTCATCCTTGTTTTTCCATTCAAATGGTAATAGTTAGGTAAGCGGCACTATTCCGAGAGGACGAGGTTCATCGCGGACGCACTTACGACTGGACTATCTGACTCCGCGCGTAACGTTTGTCAAAACTGTTGCGAATTCCTCATTAGAGTTTAGGAGTACCAACTGTCTTCGGATATCAGTTTTCCATTCTACACCATACCTGTAGGAGAAAACGTAAGTATTGTGCCACAGTACAATCCAATCCAATGGGAGTAGAAAACGCATGATTAGAAAATACAAAACAAATCAAAAACATTATCCTGGTTTGTACTATTCTATGCTTAATTAGTAAGATCGTAGTTGAAGGAGGGGCTAAATGGAACGTGGAAGGACAGCGAACTCAAAAGCAAACGCCAATGTGGTCAGCTGTTGGTCATGTCAACAAGTGTCTCCCACAACATGCGTTCCTCGCTTTCGGACCTTATCCCGGGCATCTGGGATTACCAACCGACGCCAACTTAGAAGTTAGGGACTTCATTCCTCTTGACCAAGTCATCACGTGGCCTCCATTACTCTTTTGCCATCCTTACCCCGGTCGCGCACGCAAATCATGTCACGAGTTCCGGTGTGCTGGCCGAACCATCGGCGTCTGGCACGTGGTATAACGGTGCTGAGGGGTTCAGTCGCACTTCTCGCACCAAATACGAGACGCTGAATATTCTCATTGTTCATGCGGTATACCCACCAAATATAACCTAACCTTCAATGGCACCGACGATCGAACGTACCCGACCTCTTTATGTCTGTTCACCTAGTGCGCCAGGTTTCACAACCGTATAGTGAGGTTGAAAAATAATAAAATTGTAGACACTGCCCATTAGGATGAGACAGCTGTCGCGCCACCGCCACAAATGGCGAAGATTGGTAACAGCACCTCGAAAATCTGTAATACGGTTCTTGCGCTCATTTTCTCTCCCACCAGCACTGATATAGCTGCCCAGATAGCTAAACTTTTGCATGACTTCTAATTGATCCCCATCAAGGATGAACACGAAATATGGTCCCTATCTATCTTGGCGGCAACTGTTAAATTTTGAGGGTGCAAGATATGGACCAAAATGACTGACAATATGTGCAGTGCTATTTGGCATTCTTTTGAACGGTTACATAGTAGGACAATTTCGTCGACACGCTCCAAGTAAAAATTTCTCTCACTTGGAAGCAAATCTGCAAATGCTAAGCCGTGTCCGATTAAAGATCCTCATAGCAATTTCCTAGGGTAAATGGTGACCATAAGCATCTTTATCCTGCAACACTGGAGATGCTGAAGGGATACGGCAGGTCGCTACAAGGATTCACTCTAGCCGAACTGCTTGCGCAAATCGCCCTCATGATGGTTGCTTACAAATGTGGATCAAAAAAATTCTCGGACTTATCAAGAAATAGATAAATTGAATAAAACGTAACGCTATTTTCTAAAAATATCATATCCTAGAGGTATCGGTGCCAAGTCACAATTTTATATTTTTATTTGCTTGCACGTTATGATCTGTAAAACTGACCTAGGTTGCTCAACTTCTAAATGTGGGCACATTTGAAAGTCCAGGTGTTATAAGTACCTGCAGTAAAAGGGCATGACACCAAAGGAAATCCATACTGATATGGTTGAAACAGTTGGTGAGGACTCCCATTTTTCTTCCAATGTTAGGAATTGGGCTACGAATGAAAGACGGGCAGGGAGAACACTGATAATAAGCCAAGGTCTGGCCGTTAGAAATCCTCGACGTATGAAGGTCAAGTGGAAGCAATTCACCGAGTGATATTGAATGAGAGAAGGTTATCTATTTCTCCAATAGCTATGACTATGGGCATCAGTTATAGCTCAGCGTATGCTGTTTTAACGCACATCTCGGGTATGAGAAAGCTGACTACAAGATAGGTGCCAAGAATGTTGGCACCGGCTTACAAATTTAATAGGCTGGAAAATTCGAGACGACTTTCAACCCGTTTGAAAATGATTCCCGCAAACGTTTTAAATGATTTGTTACTCAGGTCGGAACTAATATGCATCACGTTGTGTAAGAGTCAAAGATTCGAAGTAAACAGTGGAAACACCGTAATTTTACGCCCCCGAAGAAGTGAGATCAGGTGACCTCCGCGGGAATGGTGATGACCTCTGTCTCCTGGCACAATTAAGGCGTAAGAATAACAAGTATATTTCTTCTCGAGTGAGAAATTGCAGCCATATTTGGCACATATCCTATTATACAGAGTATGTCATGCTCGTGCATGAATGGTAAACAGTAATGTTATTTTTGGTGCTTTTGTTGTTCCATGGGTTTACATTAACTCAATGGTGTGTTTCGATTCAATGTACACTAGTTGGAAGAGTGGGTGGTAACAGAACTAGGACGGTGTCACCATACGCAATTTTTGTATCACTCATCATACGTTGTCTGGCTCTTCTTGGTACCAATCATCGTTATCTCTCCTAAGAGAACAGGGTCAAAACCGTGTTCGAATCTAGGTAATTGGTGAGCTCAACGCGAAAGGCCGTTGAGCTCTCACACGATCGGATTGTAACTGGGAGCTTATTTCACAGGACAACATATCTGCTAAGGAAAAAGTTAGACCGCAGATTTACCCTGCACCTGGGTACACTCAGGGTAAACTCCTTATTGCGTAGCTCCCTGGTCGAACTGTGTTGTAGTTCTAGGGAGGGCAAATAGCAGTGAGCGTTTTGGTGAATCGTGTTGTATATGTGTTGTTACGTCTCAATCTTCGTAGCCAAAGCGCATCGAGCTGGAATTGTTGGCTACGCTCCCGATGGTTCTTAGTGGACGTTTTAACTATCAGACGTTTGGTAAAGGACCTTGGTATACTTTCCAGGGACACTCTGTCAGATTTCCTCATGCTGCCACAAATGATACTGCAGTATTCCAAAATGAGACGATTGCGGATTTTGAAGAGTTCTACTCTGGCTAGGGTTATGTGGATCTTATGTAATATATTGGCTATTGATTTTATGGCTATAGCCAGCTGGTATTCCACCTGTTCGGAAAAGCTGAAGGTGCAAGAGTACCTGATTCCGAGGTCGCGGGTAAACAGCTGTACACAAAGGTGTTCTTCGTTGAGTGTAATTGATCCCTCGGGCATCGAACCGCCGCTATACATGATGCCGGATTTGTTCGCTCAGAACTACATCAGCCAGGTGTCACACCATTTCTCAGGGGCGTGAAAGTCTTCCGGTATGAGAAGTAGTGTATCTTGTAGTTCAGCTCCTCGGAATCTGTAGACCATCTTTATGTCATCTGCAACTAGGAAAGGCATGCCATGACTGATAACCGCACTGATGTCATTGACATAGGGAAAGAACAGTAACGGACCAAGTACACTCCCTTGAATAACACCACTAGTGATTGGACCTGGTGAAGAGTGGTGGTCAGCTATGGTAACTAGCTGAGAACAGCCGCTCAGGTATGACAATAGCCAGCCTAGGAGTGGATCCTGAATTTTAAAGAAAGCAATCCTTTTCAGCAGCCGTTTATAGAACACTCGATCGAATGCCTTTTCCATGTCCAGGAACAGAAGTATGATTGCGTATTCTGTGTCAATAGAATCCGAAACATGGTTTCGATAAAGTAATTGGCAGGTTATGCATGGCCGTTTGTCCAGGAAACCATGCTGTGGCTTGTCTATTAGCTCTGGCGAATTAGTGAATTTCATCACACCATTCTTAACCAGTTTCCATAATATTCTGGCTACTACAGGGTTGGGAGAGATTGGCCGGTACTTATTACTTTCTTGTTTGGAGCCACCCTTGTCATGGGGGATGATGAGCGATGTTTTCCACTGGTCTGGAAAATAGCTTGGTTCCAACGAAAGGTCAAACATATTCAGCAATAGTAACGGCATGTCAGGCCCTCCCAGTTTAATGACGGCAGGTGGGATACCATCGGAATCCAGATGGGAAGACGGTTTAGTAGAATTCACTAAATGTTGGATAGCAATGGTAGAAAGTTCAATGTTACACAGGGCGTTGTTTGTTTGCGCTGCAATGCGTGCATTTAACGGGGTCGTCTCCAGGCTCATGGAGGTAGCGGAACATGAGCTAAACTCTTCGCAGATGTCGGCTGGATCATGAAGCGACTGTCTCTCTGCATTAACCAGTGCATCGATCAAGGGGGAGTGGTTATTTGTTCTGCGATGCAGAATTTTAACAAGTTCTTTCGTTTTACATGTCCTTCGTAGAGCAATTTACACTTCCTTTATCCACTTCTTCAACTGTGTGTTCTTGACCCTGTCAAGGGTGTTTGCATCTGTAAAAGTAAGGTGAAATTTCCAGTCTTTCTTTATCGAGCGATTATTCTTCTATGTTTTGGCTGACCGAACGCACTATTGCGTCTTTTTACACATATGTGACCCCTCGGGAGTAAGGATAACAATGGCTTGATGGACGCGATGGTAGATATAGTCCACGGTAGTGCACAATTGTTAGAGTGGAAGAATGCGTCCCAATCGGAGGATCGGATTAATTTGCGAAATTTCTTCCAGTTTATCCTGAGTTGCATATTGCGGTGGCCAATTTAACACATAAAGTGAATCGTACC